GCAGGTGGATCTCTGGGCTTGAGGCCAGAGAAGATGCTGTCTCGAAAAACAAACAAAAACAACAGCATAAAAACCAGTCTTTGTTCTTGGATTCAGTTCGCAAGTATTTTGTTGAGTATTTTTGCATCAATGTTCATGAGGGAGAAGGCCTGAAATTCTCTTTCTTTGTTGGGTCTTTGTGAGGTTTAGGTACCAAGGTGACTGTGGCTTCAGAGAATGAGTTTGGTAGTGTTCCTCTTGTTTCTATTTTGTGGAATAGTTTGAAGAGTATTGGTGTAAGTTCTTCTTTGAAGGTCTGGTAGAATTCTGCGCTGAAACCATCTGGCCCTGGGCTTTTTTTGCATGGTAGACTTTGGATGACAGCTTCTATTTCCTTAGGGGATATAGGACTATTTAATTGGTTGACCTGGTCTTGATTCAGCTTTGGCATGTAGAATTGGTCAAGAAAATTGTTCATTTCATTTAGATTTTCAAATTTTGTGGCATAAAGACTTTGGAAGTAAGACCTAATTATTGTTTGGATTTCTTCAGTATCTGTGGTTATGTCCCCCTTTTCGTTTCTGATTTTGTTGATTTGGATAGTTTCTCTCTGCCTTTTAGTTAGCTTGGCTAAGGGTTTGTCTATCTTGTTGATCTTCTCAAAGAACCAGCTCTTGGTTTCATTGATTCTTTGAATTGTTTTATTTGTTTCTAATTGATTGATTTCAGCCCTGAGTTTGGTTATTTCCAGCCATCTACTCTTCTTTGGTGTGTCTGCTTCTTCTTTTTTTTTTTTCCCCTAGGGCTTTTAAGTGAGCCATTAAGTTGCTTGCATGAGATGTTTCGAATTTCTTCTTGAAGGCACTTAGTGCTATGAACTTTCCTCTTAGCACTGCTTTCATTGTGTCCCACAAGTTTGGGTATGTTGTGCCTTCATTTTCATTGAATTCTAGGAAGTCTTTAATTTCTTTCTTTATTTCTTCTCTGACCAAGCTGTCATTTAGTAGCAAGTTGTTCAGTTTCCATATGTGTGTAGTCCATTTGTTATTTTTGTCATTGAGGTCCAGCTTTATTCCATGGTGATCAGATAGGATACAAGGGATTTTTTCAATCTTCTTGTATCTGTTGAGTCTTGTTTTGTGACCAACTATATGGTCTATTTTGGAGAAGATTCCATGAGAAGAAGGTAAATTCTTTTGTGTTTGGGTGAAAGGTTCTGTAGATGTCTGTGAGGTCTATTTGATTCATGACCTCTGTCAGAGTTATTCTTTCTTTGTTTAATTTCTGGTTTGTTGACCTGTCCTTTGTTGAGAGTGGGGTGGTGAAGTCTCCCACTATTAATGTGTGGGGATATATGTGTGTTTCCCTTGCAGCTTTTTGTATTTTTTCTTTGTTCTGTATACTTACTGTTTTGATTATTATGTGACGGGAGAATTTTCTTTCTGGTCTAATTTATTAGGTGTTCTGTAGGCCTCTTGTATTATTATAGGCCTTTCCTTCAATGATTTTGTTGAAAATCATAGTTTACATTTAATAATAGTTTACATTTACAGCCCCTTTATAAAAGTCATAAGGAAACCTACTACTGTGGAAACATGCTAAAATATATCAGACTGATTTTTAAAGCACTGCTTGCTTCCTTTGGATTCAAAGACATTAGCTTTCATACTGAAATCTCAGAAATAACTCACTGGTTCAATGGATGAGGGAAGTACCGAAATCAGTGAGAATAAGAGTTTATTAGCTAGATTAAGACAACCTGCTTACATCAGTAAAACCTTTTAAATTACACCTTCATGCTCCATATAATTTCACATAATTTAAAGAGCTATTAAGATTATTAGTACTGATAGGCTCAGGTTTACCCTTTTTCATTAGTTATTAAATTAGCATACAAAGCAATAGGATTCATTATAGCATTTCCACACATATTTTGTTTTCATTGATTCTCCTTCCCATTTCACTTAACTAGGTTTCCTTCCTAGGACTGGTCTCCCCTTCATCCTCCAAGAGGTCCATATTTGGCTTTTTTCTTACATATTGCAAGTTGGTTCTGATATCTAGTAGCTAAGGAAATGCTAAAATTAAAAAAAAATGCATTAGCAAGACCTAACACAGTATGAAAAGATCCCAATAGTTAATATACTTGTTTGGCATCTTTAAACTGAGAAAACTCAATGAGACCTCCAAACATTTTTCCTACACCCAAAGCCTGGGTGGGAACATTTCAAATTAGTTTATCCCAGTGACAAGTGGGAACAGAAACCCATGTGCTTGGCTGAACAACAGCCATGGTCTGCTAGACTACTGATTTGATCTATAGCTCTGACCACTTCCACTGTCTGTCCTTCAGGCATGCCTGAGAGCCCAGTGAGAGCCCCTGGTTAGCCGGTCAAGTTCTATTCCCAACACAATTTTTTTCAAATTTTATTTTTTATATTAATTAGTTTATTTACTTTGTATCCTAGCTGTTGCCCCCTCTCTTATTCCCTCCCAATACCTCCTCCCCTTCCATCTGACTCTAGCCTATCAAGTCTCATCAGGACTGGCTGCATTATCTTCCTCTGTGGCCTGGTAAAGCTGCTCCCTCCTCGGGGGGAGGTGATCAAAGAGCCAGTCACTGAGATCATGTCAGAGACATTTCCTGTTCCCCTTACTAGGAGCTCACTTGGAGACTGAGCAGCCATGGGCTACATCTGTGCAGGAGTTCTAAGTTATCTCCATGCATGGTCCTTGGTTGGAATATCAGTCCCAGAAAAGAACTCTGCCCAACACACCTTTTTGTACACAATTTTTTTTCTAGTAGGATTACTGCCTGCCCCTGCGACAAGCTTGGTTCTTTTCATCTGGACTGTTTTTTACCCCCAGGTCTACCCATCTATTGTTCCTAGTGATTTTGATGACTGTCATAAATTAATGTAATTTTGAGTTCAGAACCCACTAAAATCTAAGCAACTTATTAGCATGCCAATGAATGCATAATTTGACAGGTGGTCTCTGGTTGTCATCTACAGCCATCACTTGCAGGAAACCTTGGCTTTTTTAGGAATAGAGAAAGGCAACATAACCAAAATATCTGGGCATAGTGGTCTTTTCTGAGAATGATGCTACAACCAAGGACCATGCATCGATATAACCTAGAACCCCTGCTTAGATGGAGTCCAGGGCAGCTCAGTATCCAAGTGGATTCCCTAGTAAGGGGAACAGGCACTATCTCTGACATGAACTCAGGGACAAGCTCTTTGACCGCCTCCCCCTGATGGATGAGCAGCTTTGCCAGACCACAAAGGAGGACAATGCAGCCAGTTCTGATGAGACCTGATAAGCTAGGGTCAGATGGAAGGGGAGGAGGACCTCCCCTATCAGTGGTCTTGGAGAGGGGCATGGGAGGAGATGAGAGAGGGAGAGTGGGATTGGGAGGGAATAAAGGAAGGGGCTAGAGCTAGGATACAAAACAAATAAACTGTAATTAATATAAAAAATAAAAATTTAATTAAAAAAGCCAATAAAGCCCTGTACCAGTCCTGTGGTTTCTGACAAATCAAAATTTTTTTTTTCAGTTTACTGTGTTTCAACTCCCGAGTGAACATAGTCTTAACTTCCCTGGCGAAGTAAGTATTGAACATCACTTCTGTGATCCTTTGATTGTTTTTTTACCTCTTTAACTGTTTTTTGCCTACCTAACTCTTCTTATGAATTTCAGGTGTTTAAATACCAGGAAAGGATATTTAGCACAAGTATAACTTGTACTCACTCTTTCATCTTGCAGTCTGTAAGAGGTGGGCAAGCCAATATCTGTCTTTAATCTAATTAGGTCCCCAACCAGAGGCTAATGCAGAGCACATTACCCACATATTTCTTTCCTGTTGTAATTTCTCCCTTAAACAAATTCCCACTGGCTAGCCATCTTGGCATTAGAGGAACTTTTTATTACACAAAGCAGGTTTGGCAACTTCACTATAGCTTGTCAATACCCTCTTCTCTTGCTTATTGCTCTCAAGGAGCATAAAATTTACTCTAAATCTCTAGCCTATCTCATAGCATGTCTGAACTCACACAGCAGACCCCACTCATTGAGCAGGCATGGAACTCTGTAATACATAGAGAAAACAGCTCCGCTTGGATTTCTTCTACAGAGTCCTCTCCCAGAATTTCCCTCTGAGTAGATGACTCAGCTTTGGTTTCATGATTTATCACTTAAAAGAAAGACCCTTATACACTGATGTATCAAGAGGCATTCTCACACCATGTGGGCAAAGGTATCAGCACCCATTGTAGGAACATGTACCCATGCTTTCCTAACAGCTTTGGTTCTCTCTTGTCCCTATGCTGGTGCCACACGTGTTGTGTGAGACTTTTTGTGATCTTTCTCTCTCTGTGTATGTCTCTCTTTCTCTCTCTGTGTGTGTATTTCAGTTTCAAGAATAGGCATAGGTTGAATGTAGCTCTGTCACTAAAAAGCTTGCACCAGAATGTGTTGCAATTCCCTGATGCTGCATCTATAGAGCTCTCTGCAAGGCTTTCCAGGCACCTCCATGGGACACGATTGCCACTTGGCAGTTCAGTTGGTCAGAGTGGGGGATGTGAAAGTTTCAGCTTTTCCAGAGAAGTGACAAGGGTTTACTTCCTCAGTCTCTTGAACCTCACCTCTTATACTCTGGCCAACTGTCAATTCACATAAAATTGTTACACAAGATATCTGGGCTGTAAAATGTACTAAAAGTGTTTACTCCATTGGGCTGTACCCTATCAAGTGTACCAAGGTCAGTAATCCCACAGTATATTAAAGCTTCTCATCTGGCCAGGACCCGGAACATTTCCTGAGCTTCTGGTCAGTCCTTCAGCTCTGTGGGAATCCTTTTGTCTTCTCAACAGCTGGAACTGTAATAGTACAGTTTCTTCTGTTGTTCCTTCCTTACTCTCTCCAGAATATGTCCTTTCTCTCACATCTATGCCAGAGCTCAGTGATCTAATCTTTTCTGCCTCTTTCCTCTAGCCCCAGGACATTGACTTCCAACAGGATGAGGACTACAACTTGTTCCCTTCTGATCTTCATCTCCCTTCTCCAGCTGACTGTCCTAGTGACTACTGAGGGGAAACCGATTGAGGAATTTCACAGCCATCGAGGTATGAGATGAGTAGAAGAAATCATAGCCTAATCCTTGCTCATGCTGATTGTATGTAAAACCTAAGATCCCTTATATTCCATTCTATGTTCTCCATCTACCTCATCCCTGCCTTCCTGAACAGGGCTTCCTCCAGCATCCTACACTTTGAACTCTTAGATAAGAACTCAATGTTCTTTATGAGGATGAAGAAAAAGGATAAGGCCTATAATTTATGAACACATTATGAAACAGGCACAATTTTAGCTTCTAGTTATTTCATTAAATTTCACAGACAGTTTATGAGGTAAGTACAACCATTACTTTTTCTTTAGAAATAAAAAAAAATACCTAGATCTTATAATTGGTGAATAAGGTGTCCCTGTATCCTTTCCATCAATGTGCTAGTATCACCTTCTACACCTTCCAATTCCTTCGGGTTAAGTAATTTTGCATTTTGTCTGCTTGAAGAGAACTGTAAATTTTGAATAGATTTATATCCTGTGAAACGTAGCTCTGTGGTAGAAGTGGTTCCATGGACTGCTATAGTCATGTAACCAGAAAGAATCACACAGCATAAAGTAGATTACTTATGGAAACTGTGACAACCCTAATGTAGAAGAGGACTACAAGGGAATTGGGAGAAAGATCATAAGGAATATACCTTTTTTTCTCTCACTCAGATGACTCTCCTAAGGCTTTCTCCTGTACTACTGTCAAGGCTACAGGCACACTGGCGTCCTGTCCTGCTGGTGAGTAACTCTTCAAGCAGAATTTGTGAACAAGGTGTCCCTGTGTCCTTTTCCTTCAATCCCCTAATAGCACCTTCTCCTGACTCTGGTTTGTACTGCCACAGAGCTGAGCTACAGTGCCAGGTGCTCAGACATCCTGATTTTCAGTTCCACAAGGATGCTACTGAGGGACTCTGGGGTTCTGCTCTTCCTGTCATTTCTTCCTTCATGCCCCCACATGCCAGCCCTTCCTGTCCCCCATGTCATGGATACAGCCTATATTTCTTTCTAAATTTATTCCCTTATGTTGTGGGAAGGGTTCCAGAAGAGGGGTGAGTTTACTGTAAATTGAAAAAAAGTGAAATTCTACCTTCCAATTCCTTTGGTTTATGGAATTTTGCATTTTGTTTGCTTGAAGAGAGCTATAAAAATTGAATAGCTTTATGTCCTGTAAAACCTAGATCTACTGTGGGAGTAGTTCCATGGACTGCTATAGTCACATAACCAGAAAGAAGCATAGAGCATTCACCACATAAACTGGTGGAGACAGCAGGCAGATGGGTTACAGCAAATAAGGGGAAAACTTTGCCATGTATTTCAGTTGCTATCTGATGACATTCTTACTTTAGGGTTAGTGGCCATTGCTAATCTGCTAAATTAACACAGGCTGGAGGTGTTCATTCCTGGACTACAGTCATTCCTAAAGGGCTCAGAATAAGCCTATTCTCTTTGAGGTGAAAGCTGTGCTGCTTATGGACACTGATCCATTCTAAGGACTGGAGTGAAGTGGCAGAATTAGAATGGGCACCAGGGCACCCCCGTATTACAGGGTTTTTTTTTAAATCCTCTTGTATTTAAAATAAGATGAGGAAAATTAGCAGGGAGGGATGAAACTAAAAATGTTTACAAAAGATTGAACTTCACTTAAATAGTAAATAGTTTGGCTAATTTAAACAAAACCAACCAACCAAACAAACAAAACACCATAGATCTACTCATGCACTTCCTAAAAAAGGACATTTAGGGATCTTCCTATCTTACAGTCCAAGGTGTCTGATGTCTGTGTCTCACACGACCATGCAGGGATGATTGCTACTGGCTGTGCGTGTGGCTTTGCCTGTGGATCTTGGAATATCCAGAATGAAAACATTTGCCACTGCCTGTGTCCAATCATAGACTGGACCCTTGCCCGCTGCTGCCGACTGGGCTAAGAAAGTGGAGGCTGAGAACCCAGTTTTGAAATGATGACAATAACAAAACCACAATCTCAACTTAAAAACCTGGCTCGTGTTCCCTTGATAAATTCGTATTACCCAGAAACCCTGCTTTCTGAAAAATAAAGATGAATTTGCACCTGTCTACGTTTATGTCTTCAATGTTATTACTTCTTACTTGGGATACCTCTTGCCAGAAATCATTTTCAGTATCTCAGATTACATCTCAGGGAGGTGCTTGAGAAGTGTGGTTAGGAAAGAATGGGAAGATATGGGAAGAATGAGAAAACAGACTGACCCTCCACTTCTTCTTTTTTTTAGTTACATTTTATTAAATCTGTATCCCAGCTGTACCCCACTCCCTCACTCCCTCCCAAACCCTCCCTTCCTCTGTCATCTCCTCCCTGCCCCTTTCCAAGTCCACTGATTGGGGAGGACCTCCTTCCCTTTCATCTGACCCTGGTTTATCAGGTATCTTCAGGACTGGCTGCAAAGTCCTCCTCTGTGGCCTAGCAGGACTGCTCCTCCCTTGGGGGGTGGGGAGGTCAAAGAGCCTGCCATTGAGTTCCTGTCAGAAATAATCCCTGTTCCACTTACTATGGGAAAGCAATTGGTTACTGAGCTACCATGGGCTTCATCTGAGCAAAGGTTCTAGGTTATATCCATACATGGTCCTTGGTGGAGTGTCAGTCTCAGAAAAGACCCCTGTACCCAGATGTATTTGGTCCTTGTGGAGCTCCTATCCTTTCCACGTGATACTAGCTCCCCTTCTTCATATGATTCCCTGCACTCTGCTGGAGGATTGGTTATTAGTCTTAGTATCTGCTTTGACACACTGCTAGGTAGAAACCTCTGCGGTAGGCTCCTGTCCTGTTACTTGTTTTCTCCTACGTCCAATGCACATCCCATTTGTCTTTCCAAGTGAGGATTGATCATCTTACCCCAGGTCCTCTTTCTTGTTTATCTTCTTTAGGTGTATAGATTTCATTATGTTTATAATATCTTATAGGACTATATAAGTGAGTATATACCATGTGTGTCTTTCTCCTTCTGGGATACCTCTCTCAGAAGGATTTTTTTTCTAGATCCCACCATTTGCCTGCAAATTTCATGATTTCATCATTTTTGATTGCTGAGTAGTATTCCATTGAGTAAAAATGTCACAATTTCTGTATCCATTCCTCTGTTGATAGACATCTGGGTTGTTTCCAGGTTCTGGTTATTACAAAATAAAGCTGCTACAAACAGGGTTGAGCAAATGTCCTTATTGTGTACTTGAGCAAATTTTGGGTATATGCCTAGGAGTGGTATAGCTGAATCTTGAGGAAGCGCTATTCCTTATTGTCTGAGAAGGGCCAGATTGACTTCCAAAGTGGTTGTACCAGTTTACGTTCCCACCAGCAATGCAGGAGGGTTCTCCACAACCTCTCCAGCATGTGTTGTCTCTTGAGATTTTCATCTTGGCCATTCTGATGGGTGTAAGGTGAAATCTCAGGGTCGTTTTGATTTGCATCTCCCTGATGGCTAAGGATGTTGAACATCTCCTTACGTGTTTCTCTGTCTTTCTATATTCCTCTACAGAGAATTCTCTGTTTAGCTCCGTACCCCATTTTTTAATTGGATTACTTGGTTTACTGCTTTTTAACTTCTCTAGTTTTTTAATATATGCTGGATATCAGCCCTCTGTCAGATATAGGGTTGGTGAAGATCCTTTCCCAGTCTGTAGACTGTTGTTTTGCTCTGACGACAGTGTCTTTTGCTTTACAGAAGCTTTTCATTTTCATCATGTTGCATTTATTGATTGTTGCTCTTAGAGCCTGTGCTGTTGGTATTCTGTTCAGAAAGTTGTCTTCTGTGCCAATGAGTTCTAGTCTCTTCCCCACTTTTTCTTCTAACTGATTTAGAGTATATGGTTTTATGTTGAGGTCTTTGATCCACTTGGACTTTAGTTTTGTGCAGGGTGATAAGTATGGATCTATTTGTATTTTTCTGCATGTAGACATCCAGTTGGACCAGCACCATTTGTTGAAGATGCTGTCTTTTTTTTCCATTGAATGATTTTGGCTTCTTTGTAAAAAATAAAGTATTCATAGATGTGTGGGTTTATTTCTGGGTCTTCTATTTGTTTCCATTGATCCTACTTTCTGTTTCTATGCCAATATCATGCAGTTTTTATTACTATTGCTCAGTAGTACAGCTTGAGATTGGGGATGGCAATACCTCCAGATGATCTGTTGTTGTACGGGATTGTTTTGGAGATTCTGGGTTTTTTGTTTCTCCATACAAAGCTGAGAATCTTTCTTTCAAGGTCTGTAAAGAACTGAGTTGGTATGTTGATGGGAATTGCGTTGAATCTGTAGATTGCTTTTGGCAGGATGGCCATTTTCACTATGTTAATCCTACCAATCCATGAGCACGACCCTCCACTTCTATTCTTCATCATTTTTACAGAAAGTATTGAGTACATTGTTTGGTATGAAATACAGTAAAGCAAATATCATGCTCTTATGGAACTCAACAACTGGGTCAGTGAACACCAAGCAGGAAGACTCTCAAAGTGCAGGCAGGCAAGGGGAAATTGCAAATAATTTATTTCTAACCTTTGAGCACACATACGTGCCTTCTTATTCAAGTACACAAGAAAACTGCTTACATCAGTAAATCCTTTTGAATTACATGTGAATGTTCTGTATAATCTATATAATTTAAAGAGCTATTATGTTTATTGGTACTGATAGGCTCAGGTTTGCCCTTTTTCTTTAGGTTTTAAATTAGCATTCACTAGTCAGGGTACTCTCTCTTAATTAGTTTCTTTAGATGTACAGGTTTTAGTAGGTTTATCTTATGTTATGTGTCTATATGAGTGAGTATATACCGTGTGTATCTTTCTGCTTCTGAGACAGCTCACTCAGGATGATCCTTTCCAGGTCCCACCATTTATCTGCAAATTTCATGATTTCCTTATTTTTCATTGCAGAGTAGTACTCCATTGTGTAGATGTACCAAAATTTCTGCATCCAATCCCCATCCTGAAAGGCAAAGAGGATAGACATCAGAAGAAGAAAACAGGAAACAACCTAGGAACCTGCCACAGAGGGCCTCTGAAAGGCTCTGCCCTGCAGACTATCAAAGCAGACACTGAGACTTATGGCCAACTGTTGGGCAAAGTGCAGGGAATCTTATGTAAGAAGTAGGAAATAATAAGATCTAGAGAGGACAGGAACCCCACAAGGAAAGCAACAGAACCAGAAAATTTGAACACAGGGGTCTTCCCAGAGACTCATACTCCAACCAAGTACCATGCATGGAGATAACCTAGAACCCCTGCACAGATGTAGTCCATAGCAGTGTAGTGTCCAAGTGGTTTACATATTAATGGGAAGAGGGACTGCCTCTGACATAATCTGATTGGCCTGTTCTTTGATCACCTCCCCCTGAGGGGAGAGCAGCCTTAGCAGGCCACAGAAGATGACAATGCAGCCATTCCTGATGTGATCTGATAGACTAAGAACAGAAGGAAGGAGAGGAGGACATCACTATCAGTGGACTTGGGGAGGGGCATGTGTGAAGAAGGGGGAGGGAGGGTGAGATCTGGAGGGAAGGAGGGAGGGGCTTATGGGGGGATACAAAGTGAATAAAGTGTAATTAATAAAAAATTAGCATACACTATAATAGGATTCACTGTAGCTTTTTCACACATACTTTGTTTTCAATGATTCTTTTTGACCACTTCTTTAACTAGGTTCCCTTTCTAGGACAGAGACCTGGTCTGCTTCATCTTCTCAGAGACCCCCTTTTGGCTTTCTTGTTGCATATTTATTACCCTCCCTTTTGCCCAACATCCATAAGGCTTTTTATTAGGGTCTTCTTTGTGGATTCATGAGTTATATATGCACCCACTTTCTTAAGTTTAATGATGCTAGTTAGAGCACAATATTCCCGAAGTAGTTTGCCAATGTGTATTTTTCTTGGGAAGTATGACATAACTAACTGCCCAATGCTTATTTTATTTACCTTAAAAAGCTCATGAACTTATTGGTACATTAAATGTTGACTGAGTCCATCACTCATGAAATCTGCTGTGGTTTTGACTTAATTCTGTCAATTATTTGCCAATGAGTAGTTAATTGTTTGCCTCCTGAATTTGTAATAAGTAGGGATGCACAGAAAAGGATAACAAGAGACAGATGCGGACACTGAAGAGGGCTGAGGCAGTATGCTTAGATAAAAATGTAAGTTTTTTTCCAACACAGCCTGAGAGCTGATTTTCATTGATAAAGATGATTATGGCCTTCAGTGATTATGAGACATCAGAGTTAACCACCATGAGCAAAAACAATTACCACAGAAATGACCAATTGAGGATACTCTTTACTCTCTTTCCATACTTTCAATGGCACATTCCAGAGAAACCGTCTATTTCTTCTTAGTGAAAATGAGCACACACACACAAAAAAAGAGAAACAGCTGCATCTAACTAACAAAATAGCGCAAAATAACTTCATAAAAGTAAATTTACATTTTAGAACCAAAATGTCTTCAAAAGTTGGCTGGCCACAGAGGGCCTCTGAAAGCCTCTGCCTTGCAGACTATCAAAGCAGATGCTGAGCCTGATGGCCAACTGTCAGGCAGAGTGAATGGAATTTTATGTAAGAAGTGGGAAATATCAAGAGCTGGAGAGGACAGGAACTCCACAAGGAGAGCAACAGAACAAGAAAATTTGAACACAGGGAACTTCCCAGAGACTCATACTCCAACCAAGGACTATTCATGGAAATAACCTAGAACCCCTGCACAGATGTAGCCCATGGCAGTTCAGTGTCCAAATGGGTTACATAGTAATGGGAAGAGGGACTGCCTCTGACATAATCTGATTGGCCTGCTCTTTGATCACCTCCCCCTGAGGGGGGAGCAGCCTTACCAGGCCACAGAAGATGACAATGCAGCCACTTCTGATGAGAACTGATAGACTAAGATCAGAAAGAATGAGAGGAGGA